ACAAGAAAAAAGTGAAGGAAATGATTGGTCCATTAGTGGGTGGAAGTGGCAAGAAGGTGACAAGCAACAGGGAGAAAGCAGAACTATTTAACTCATTTTTTGCATCTGTCTTTACACAAAGGGAAAAAACAGACCAACCTATCAAAAATAGTGCCATAAAAAACAAAACAGAAACACAAGTTAAGATAGGCAAGAAAATGGTTAGGGAGCACCTGTCCAGCCTAGATGAGTTCAAATCGCCAGGACCAGATGGATTACACCCCAGAGTTCTCAAGGAACTGGCAGATGTGATATCGGAGCCACTGAACTATATTTTTCAAAGATCCTGGAACACAGGGGAACTACCAGAGGACTGGAAAAGAGCTGATGTAGTTCCCATCCTCAAAAAAGGAAAAAAAATGGATCCAGGAAATTACAGACCTATCAGCCTGACCTCAATACCTGGGAAGATCCTGGAAAAGATAATCAAACAACGAATCAACGAACACCTAGAGGCAAACAAAGTCATTACTAAAAGCCAACATGGGTTTGTCAAAAATAGATCATGCCAGACAAATCTTATTGCATTCTTTGACCAAGTGACAAAATTAGTGGATCAGAGGAATGCTGTGGACATAATTTACTTGGACTTCAGTAAGGCATTTGATAAAGTAGATCACAACCTACTACTTGACAAGATAGAAAAATGTGGGGTAGACAGAACCACCACCAGATGGATCCGTAGCTGGCTGACCGGCCGTACTCAGCGAGTGGTCCTCAATGGAACTGCATCTATATGGAGGGAAGTGTGTAGTGGGGTGCCCCAGGGCTCTGTTCTGGGCCCAGTACTCTTCAACATCTTCATCAACGATTTGGATGAAGGGATAGATGGGGAACTCATCAAATTTGCAGACGACACCAAGCTGGCAGGAATAGCCAACACTCCAGAAGACAGGCTTCAGGTACAGAAGGATCTGGACAGACTTGAACACTGGGCACTAACTAACAAAATGAAATTCAATGGTGAAAAAAGCAAGGTTCTACATTTAGGCAAGAAAAACCAAATGCACAAGTACAGCATAGGTGGCACCATGCTCAATAGTAGTAATTGTGAGAGGGACCTCGGAGTCCTAGTAGACAATCAGTTAAATATGAGCCAGCAGTGTGCGGCAGCTGCCAAAAAGGCCAACACAGTACTAGGCTGCATTAACAGAGGGATAGAATCAAGATCACGCGAAGTATTAATACCACTCTTCAATGCCTTGGTAAGGCCACACTTGGAATACTGCATCCAGTTTTGGTCACCACGATGTAAAAAAGATGTTGAGACTCTAGAAAGAGTACAGAGAAGAGCAACAAAGATGATTAGGGGACTGGAGGCTAAAACATATAAGGAACGGTTGCTAGAATTGGGTATGTCTAGTTTAACGAAGAGAAGGACAAGGGGGGACATGATAGCAGTATTCCAATATCTCAGGGGCTGCCATAAAGAAGAGGGAATTAAGCTATTTTCCAAAGCACCTGAAGGCAGGACAAGAAGCAACGGGTGGAAACTAATCAAGGAGAGAAGCAACCTAGAACTAAGGAGAAACTTCCTGACAGTGAGAACAATTAATCAGTGGAACAGCTTGCCTCCAGAAGCAGTAAATGCTCCAACACTGGAAGTTTTTAAGAAGAGACTGGACAGCCATTTGTCCGAAATGGTGTAGGGTTTCCTGCCCGAGCAGGGGGTTGGACTAGATGACCTCCAAGGTCCCTTCCAACTTTACTATTATTATTATTATTATTATTATTATTATTATTATTATTATTATTATTATTATTATTATAGCAAGAATGAAATAAAGATTATGATCTAAATCACCTAAGCACTTTTTCTTATCTGGTACGACTATAGAAGCTTAAATATATATTGATTTCCTGACGAAGAAATCATCAGGAATATGAATAAGAATTCTGTGGAAAGAGGCTTGTAGGCCTAACGGGAACTTTGCTTTGAATTAGGTGGTCACAGCAGATACTGGTATTATTATTATACACTTTTATGAACCTCTAAGGATTTAAACCTTCTCACACATGTTCATGAAAATATATATTTATAATTGGTGACATTATTTACATAATTTATATCCTGGATTATCATGTCCATAATTTTTCCATAACCGCAGATAACTTGATGATTGAGTCCTTAGCCCATTCATTATAGATATCTCTTGATACATTTATTTCCTACTAGTGCCTTCTAATGTCCAACCTTCAAAGTTGTCTTATAAGTTTTTGCAAACATAAATATATACATTTCTCACAGGAAAATTCCTTTTTTTAACTTCAAAGTTTTAAATCAAATTCATTTGACCCTTAATTTTTTTGGATCTTTATAAAGCAACACTAATCGTCCTTTTGCTGTATATTGAAAAAAATCTTTTTTACAGATCTCTGATTTAGAAAGTTTTTTAGAAAGAGAGAGAGGGAGGGAGGGAGAGGAAGAGAGAGAGAGAGAGAGAGAGAGAGAGAGAGAGAGTGAGAGAGAGAGAGAGAGAGAGAGAGAGAGAGAGAGAGAGAGAGAGAGAGAGAGAGAGATATTTTTAAGGCTTTTCTGTGTAAGACTTTACATTTGTCCATCTTAATAATTTGCTGGTACAGACTTTTTCATTTCATTCATACTTCAATATTCTTGTCCACACATGTATATTCCTTATCTGTTCAATAGGCATATACCATTTTTATATAGAGAGGAGATCACAAAGAGGAATGTAATATTATAATAAGTCATATGCAAACGATATAGTCATAGGACTGTGCACATTTGGAAAGGGATTTGAAAAGAGTGCTTCAGGTCTCTTGCAAAGACAGCACAGTTCTATTATTCATTAAGATAAGAGTGACTTTTATCAGACATCTACGAGGAATTGAAAAATGTATGACATTGTTTCAAGAGTTGCATTAAACCTAATGAATAGATTTTCCTGTATGCCTGAAATAAGTTGTTCTGCTTTAATGCACAGCAGAGAAATACATGGGGTCCAAAGCATTTCTTCAAAGTCATTTTCAATATATACTTGACAAGAATATATTATTATTATTCTATTATAATAATAATAATAATAAAAGTTGGAAGGGAGCTTGGAGGTCATCTAGTCCAACACCCTGCTCAGGCAGGAAACCCTATACCATTTCAGACAAATGGCTGTCCAATCTCTTCTTAAAAACTTCCAGTGTTGGAGCCTTCACCACTTCTGGAGGCAGGTTGTTCCACTGGTTAATTGTTCTGTCAGGAAGTTTCTCCTTAGTTCTAGGTTGCTTCTTTCTTTGATTAGTTTCCATCCGTTGCTTCTTTTCCTGCCTTCAGGTGTTTTGATGAATAGCTTGACTCCCTCTTCTTTGTGGCAGCCCCTGAGATATTGGAACACTGCTATCATGTCCCCCCTTATCCTTCTCTTCATTAAACTAGACATACCCAATTCCAGCAGCCGTTCCTTATATGCTTTGGCCTCCAGTCCCCTAATCATCTTTGTTGCTCTTCTCTGTACTCTTTCTAGAGTCTCAACATCTTTTTTACATGATACTTGACAAGAATATATGTAATTTTTGTACCTAAATAGCAACAAGTAAACATCTTGATATTTTAATAGTGTTCAATCCTTCTAATCTGGGTTAAGAGAAGTCTTTTTACTCTTATTAGACTCTGCACATATTATCTGTTTTCTCTTTATGATAGTGAAAAAGAAATGTAGGATAAGGCAACTGACTGATTTCCATGTAAACAGAGATAAATGGAACTTAAGCTGCAATAAAGGTAACAATGCTAAATGCATTTGTGTTTGGTCTCACTGAGAAAACTCAAAAAATATTCATGATTGTATTCTCATACTGAGGTTTTTGAACAAAGATCACAGCAGAAAATATTCCTTCATATAAACATTTCCACTAATTTGATTTACCACCCAAAAGCTTATTTTAAAATTTTCTGAGAAATGCCTTCAGAAACATAATTACTGACATTAGATACAAATATCTTGTATGAGAAGCCACACTAAATATAAGAATAGGTGAGAAAGAAAGCTCTGTTATTTCCTACAGTAGAAATGGTTTTGAGAAGACCATGTATTTGGCTTTGGAATTTCTATTTAACAGCATATCACTTGAGATGAAGTAAAATTCTAAGAATTTATTAGTATGAAAGGGAATCAATTATTCTTTCTAAGAGATGGTAAACTATCATCAATATTTCTTTTATTGCTGTTCATAAACTGGAACTATTGATCATGCTGTGAAGTCCTAGAAGGGACAAAAGTGACCTGCTGTCCTCCATTATTCTGAACTTCAATTCTTTTCAATCACACAGGTCAATGGCAGGAGATTCTGGAAGTCTAAATCATCCAGAAAGACCCAATGATTCAATTATCTTTTGAGTATTTTTCTTTTGCCTCCCCTTTTCATCGCCAAAATTTCCACTTTTTCAGAAGCAGAGGGAGAGCAGGAGATTTCACATAAAAGGTGTTTATTTAATTATAAGCTGAGCATGATGGTTCCAGAAAAAAACAGAGTGTCATTTTCAAACTCAGATTTAGAAAGGCAGCTGTGCTGCCCTTAATTACCCTCTTCATTTGAGAAAAATAGAAAGTTTTGCTGATGAAGAAGACAGCTGAGTTAGAAGTACATATCAGCAGTCTAGGCAATTGTTAAACAAAGAATTTAGCAAAGCTTGGGAAGTTTTTTAGTTTGCTGCATTAAATCAAACTTTCCAGAATGCAGTTTCTAAAAAAAACACATTAATATATACCTTTTCAGTTTCAGAAAACACTTGATTTGTCTGGATTGTTGCTTTATTTTTGAAATAGCTGCTAACCCAAAAGTTTCAATTTAGCTCAACTGGATATTTAGAATAACACAGCTTTTGTTGTTCAAAGTTTGAAATTTCATTTTGAAAAAATAAATTATAGACAGGGCATTCTTTTGGGTGTCAACATAATAAATAATAATTTAGAACAAAACAAAGATTTTAGGTCAATTGTACTTACCCACAGGAGACATTTCAGGCACTCCAGCAGTGTAAGGACCATCCAGAAATTTAGGCTCATTGTCATTGATGTCCTGAATCTTAATGACGAATTCCGACTCAGGCTCCACAGGTTTATTTGTCAGTCTATCTAATGCTTGTGCACGGAGGGTGTAGTAGGCCTGCTCTTCCCGATCAAGCCTCTTTGTAGCATGAATGTCCCCCGTGTTCTCATCAATAATGAAAATGGAACTTGCCCCCTCTCCTGACAAGATGTATTTGATGGAGCCGTCTCCTTTATCAACATCAGAGTGAAGCTGGTAAAAAAATTGATGAGAGATGAGATTAACGTACAGGACAGTTGGCGATATGAATATATGTTTAAAAATAATTTGCATATGAAATTGTTTGTTCTTGGAAAAATGAAGGCAATGTGTTGAATATGCACAGCATGTGGCAAATGATAGGAAGCTGTCAGCTAACTCCCATGTGTCAGATAGCCACATGTCATATCCAAGATCGTATTTTCAGAAGCCACCGTGTCAGAATGAAGCTTTTTATGAGAACACAGTTGATTTTACAAGCCTTGGTAATCTAATGCTATTTACTCAAGAGTAAATAGCCAGCTGAAATCCTTTGGGTGTTTTGTATTCCTTTGGGTGTCAATGCACCTGCTTGCTAAATAAAACTCTTAATATTTAGGTTTCTCCAAATCATGAAGAAATAAAAAAATGAATCAGCACAAAATTTCCATCCCCTTTCATATTTATTACAGTGATTTATTAATAGGAAGTATGTCTACTTCCATTATGAAAGATCACAGAACTGAACAGGAAGCCTAAATAATTCATCCTAACATTATTGTATATTTTTATTTTAAAAAGGGAGCATTTATAAACTATAAACATGAAACAAATGTTACCACTGTAGAGATAGTAGCTATATCAAGTTTCATTGTGATGTCTTCTCCAAATATGTCAGAGTTTTAATCCTAATATGCTACTTCCATCAAAAAACCAAGCTTTTGAGTAAACACTCTATAACTACAAAAAACTTTTTGTATGTCATGCTGTTTGTAACCTTCAATTAGATAAAACAGTGCATCACAAGACAACAATTTTTGAATCCAGGTACAGCAAATATCCTAAGTCAAATAATTATGTACAAAATCTGGGATCCATTATTCCTGTGAAGTGAGATTTCAAAGATCCACAGACAACTTGTGGCTACTGCAGTGACACCATGGCCAGTTGCAGTTACATGTTTATGAATTCCAAAAATCCCTGCTATCTTCATGAAAACAAAGTCAATGGGAACATCTGCCGGAAATCAGGCCGCTCCCAGCCCCACTGGTTTTTTTGCCCCTCTCCCATGTTCATTCTATTTATTTTTTTAGTAAGGAAACATCTCTGAAAGGATAACTCATGCGTAATGGGTTTCTAGTATGAGTTGAAACGCACAACTTCTGGATGATACTAATATGGGAGAAAAAAACCTTTGTATGACTTTTTTTCATAGAGTATGGAAAACATGTATAGACACATAGACAGACACACACATACAAAGAGAGGAGGGGAGAAACAGTCCTGCTTCATGGAAAAACATATGAAACACAAAAAAATAGTTTAGAATTAAAATAATGATTAAGTATTTAGTATGGACAGGAATATTCACTAAAGGATCTAAAATAAGTGTATTTGTCAAAAGGTGGAATAAGAGAGTCTAACTCCTAGACTAACCCACAGTAAGAAGAAGGAATTGGTTGAAGAACTGAATGTTGAGGTAAGTCATCACTGTCTCCATGAAATTGTAATATGCAGAGCAGAAAGAATAAAGAACACTGTACCTTCATACTAGATTTCATCAAAACAGTTTTTGATGAATACTAAAGGAAGGTAGGCCAGATATAATGGCTTGAAACACTTAAGGAGAAAAATGATCAGATAGGATGGGAAGTTCTGATTTTCAGAAGAAGTGGCAGACTGAAGACCGCTGTGTAAAAAGCCGAGCCAATAATCATAGCAAAGAATAGAGAGCCAGTGAGTAAACTGGCTCTTCGGAATCTCTCCAGAGAAAGAGGAGACAGAAGATTGCCCACATGCACTCCAAATAGCTGCTCCTTGCACCAAGAACCACAAGGCAGCAATTTTCAGCAGGTTTTGAGTGGTGGAAAAAAACAGGAATCTTGCTCAAAAGTCAGCTACTGCCTTTGAAAGTACTTTACAAACTATCTATTATAAGCAAGTTTGGAAATTGCTTGTTAATACTTTTAGTTTAATAAAGACCTTTGAAAATGACAAGTCTGAAAACACCAGGTAAGTTTTCCTTCAATTCTTAATGAAAGAAGATTTTAATCACAAATTTTAGAATTTTTTTTAAATGAAATAAACAGCAAAAAAGCTAAATAAAGCAATAACGTTAGAAACACATTACAAATACATATAAATTTGGAATAAGATTTGGGGGTTAATTATAAATAGTTATTCTCATAAGAAGTAGATTTGTTTGGATTTTTGCAAGACAAAGTAAAATAAGCAATTTTAAAAAGTGGATACTAGAGGGAACTATAGATTTTAGTTAAAGAAGAAAAATAATAAAACCTGATTAGCAGCTAATTAACTGAGACATATAAAATGATACAAAATATTGAAAATATTGAAGGACACTTTTGAACAAAGAAATCAGAATTTAGATCAACAGTGTCAATAATAACATTTACTTCTATGGATAGAGCATATCCAAAAGATATTATGGAAGAAATAGCAGATGATGAACACATTTTATTTGAAAGACAGAAATGGATCTGCAAATGATGGGTTGTGGGAATGAAATGGAAAAGAACACCTCATTGGGCATATAAAAGAAACTGATGTTTGAAAATTCAAAAGGAAATACAAATGATAAACTGAGAGTGATCTGGATAATCTTTTATATTGGATTTACAGAAGAGGCTTGTTAAAGTTTTGAAGAAACTTGTGAAAATAAAGAAGAAATGAAAATAATCAAATTCTAAACCATAACTTGAATGGATTAAAGATTAAGACTGGTAGAAGATAAAAGAAGGAATATAAAATTGGTTTATTTGATCAAGGTTAAAATAAAATATATTATCATTTCTGGTGATCCTTAATGGAATTTCTACTGACACTAGGGCTGAAAAGTTTATGCTTTATGAATTTGTCTGTAGATCAGAAATGGGATATGAGATGAAAACATTATTGGCCATAAAAACGGACTGAAGTGTTACAAAACATGTTTATATTTGTAGTGATAAGGCTTGAAAGTCACTTCTTTATATATTTCATTTCTCTTTTTACTTTAACAGAGTCTTTTTTCTTGTATTTTTTCTTTCCCTTTTGCACATTCTACCTTTTTTCTTCTTCTTCCTTTCTTTTAGTTTGTATTGGATTTTATTATTGTAATTAGAGTTTATCTATCTATCTCTCTGTCTAGGAAGGGAAGTTGTATGAGAATGGAAATATTCTCACAAAAAGGAAAAACAAGAAAAAATAAATTTGCCAGTTTGGATATATTCAGAAAGCTCTAAAATGCTGAAGACAAAGAAAGCAATGATGGGAAGTAGAAAGAAGACAATAGAATATACAATTGACTTATGATGGTAACTGGAACTTGAATTTCTATCACCAAGTGATATGGTCATAAAGCCCAATCATACTGATTAGTGACAGCAATCCCTGCAGTCCCAGTTACCACTGTTGACCAAATCCCATGATTGTTAGCCAAGGCAACTTCCTGCTGGCTTCCTACAAGCAAGTCAGTAGAGAATGAAGCAGAAATCTGAAAGTAGCAGATGACTTGTATTCAGGCAGGCAGGCAGATAAGTGGCTGCTGCCGGGGGGGGGGGGGAGGGTGCAAGGAAGACACTGAAAGGGACAGCGAGGGTGTGCAGGAATGTGCAAGGGATGGAAGGTATAGTAAGATTCAGAAAGGATTTACAAGGGTACAAGGGAAATGCAGTGGGAGTCATGGGTAAATGCAAGTGGTTAGCACAGAGGGGATGATGGAGAGTGCACAGGTGAAGGAGATGCACTTTAATGACTCTCAGAAATTATCTATTCATGCTTTCCCTTACTTGACAGCAGCCACTTACCTGCCTGCTTGCCTGCCAGCATGCAAACCACATGAATTTGAGACAACCTCTATATTCCTTCCCAACTCTACCTCTATGATATTTGATTCTTAATATTAATGTTATTAACACTGAATGTTTTATGTTTGACCTCTTTCATACATTCTTTAAAATTCTGTCTGAAACTTTTTTCTTCATAACCACGGACAAAAAAAGTAAAGAATAATAACACCCGCATAATGTTCTGCTACTTTATCTTTAATATACTGATATCCCTAGTCTCATCTTTAAATTATTTTTCTCCTTCTCTGTCTTATATTATATAATGTAATTATAAGGTTGGATAGGAACAGGAAAAAAAAGACTCTGGCAGAGAAGAAAGACAGCCATCTGATTGTCAGACCTAAGGCTAAAGATGACACAGTGAAATCTAATTGAACCCAATTCCTTATTTGCTCATACCTAATGGAAAGAACCTTGAGAGATTCTAGAGCAGTGGTTCTCAACCTGTGGGTCGGGACCCCATTTGGGGTCGAACGACCATTTCACGGGGGGTCGCCAAACAACACAGTCCGCCATTTTTTTCCCCTTTTCCTTAACTGTGCTACTCCCTTTTATTCTATTGGCTTTTGAAAGCCAATAGAAGAGACTCTCTTGAATAGAGTCAAATTCTATTGACTTTCAAAAGCCAATAGGAATTGTCCAGGCTGTCTCTGCCCTGCTGAGCCTGCCAAAAGTCCCATTCTGCAAACAGTGCTGCACCAGTTGAGTAGTCCTCGACTTACTACCGGTTGAGTAATCCTCGACTTACGACCGGTGGGGGTCATGGCATTAAAAAGGTTGAGGACCACTGTTCTAGAGTGTGCCTTCTCTAAATTTCTTCCCCTATCCAGCTCAGGACTGAAAAGTCTCTTTAACATGAGCTTTTCTCTAGAATGCATTGTCTCCTCCTTGGGAAAGCTCTATGCTGCCAAGACTCCCCTCCACTGCTTCTCCAGGTGCAGATTCCAGCACATGGTCAAGAAAATGCACAGTGCAAATCAATTAGATGATAAAATCAGATCCAGATCCACAGTGCAAAGAGCCATTATCATTTCCATATGATAGCCTCCCAAAAACCCTCTGAGGTACATATAGTAAGATGCTATCTTCTTTCAACTGTAATATTCACCCATCAAAGTCAATGCACACAGAAGGAGCTGACTAAGAGTTCAGGCCAGAGAGTTA